TTCTCGCAGCCGCGCCCAGGAGCGCCCTGCAGCCCTCCAAACCCAGCCCCCCACCCCTGCCCCGCCTGGGTGCTGCGGTCCCGCTCCTGACACCCCCAGCTCCTTTTGCTGTCTGCCAAGCCGGGCTGGAGCAGAGCTGGGGTTACTGGGCTGAGCTGCAGCTCCAGCCCCACAGCCTGGGTGTCCTGCTACAGCTGGCAGGTCCCTCACTCAGGACGTTTCTAGGAGTGTCCATCTGCATGTGAAATCTGTGACTCGTCCCCTTCTGCTCAGAGAGAATTGTGTTCCACAGTCTGCTTCCAGTAGCAGAAACTCTGCAGTTTCCAGTCTGGATGTGTTTGTGCCAGCTTATTTCCATCTCTTTCTGTGCTAGCCTTGACTTAGCTGAGACAACAGAGCTCCTTCCCAGGAATTGCCATGCAGTTGATCTCCCAGCCCTGGCTGAACCAGCCTGTCCAGGCATGGCTGCAGTGCTGGGGTTCCCTCTGCCAGGGCTGCCCTGAGTGTCCTGGAGCTCTCTGCTGCTGCCACGAGCCCGGGGCATGGCTCATGGCACGCTGTGGGGATGGGTGGTACCTGTGCCCACACCTGGGGGACAGAGCCAGACCCTGCCCAGCCCTCGCTGGGCCTGTGCATGGAGACACTGCCGTTCCCAGTGGCTCTGGGGAGGTCCTGATATCTGTGGCCAGTGTTTGCCCATCCCATGGCTGTGCCATGCTGGTGGCCAGCAGCCACCCTGTGATTCACCTCCTTCACCTCAGCCCTTCTCCTTTGCTCCTCCAAGCACAAGAGCCCGCAGCTGAGGCGCAAAATTCCTGTGAGGAGCTCGGGAGACCTCTCACTTCAACCTAGGGAAGGGAAGGGAGGAGAAATGAGGTTTGGAGGCTAATTCTGGCAGCATCACACATGAGAAAGATCAAAAACTCAGGGCAGGAGTACAAGAAAGGAGGGAAGCTGTTGCGTGCATGCTCCTGGAAGCCCTGACAGCCCTGGTTCTTGCATCCTGCACGTTATTTCTGTACCTACTTAAATTAAAACCAGCCTTTTCTTGCAGATGCTGACTGGAGCCAGGCAGTTCTTCTCCCCAGGGGAGAATCCAATTTTCACTCCATCTCGCTTGTGTTTTTGACCTGGAATGACTCTTCTTTTTATATTTAACAAATGCTCCCTCTGAGCCTTGTACCACACTGCGCTTCTCACACAGAGCTGGCAGCGCTGTGGCACAGGGTGCCCCGAGGCAGGAGACCCTGGGTGGTTTCCCAAGGTGGGCACCTGCTTACCTGGGCTCTGACCACCCCCAGGCAGAGCTGTGCTGTCACTCCACCAGAGGGGACACGAGCTTTGTGGGCAGAGCCCTGGCACAGCCCAGCCCAGCTGCTGTGGGAAAGGGGGGCAGGGTCCTGCTCCTGTGTCCCCTGTGCCCTGGGCTTGGGGTCTGGAAATGGCAAGGAAGAGCCATGTTCTGGTGCTGTGGCCATGGGAGGGCACCGTGGGCTGTGGCATTGCTGCAGTCAGAGGAGGGATCCCACCTCCTGCAGCCCCTCACCCACCTGCACCCCAATTTCTGGCAGATCCCTTCACAGCTGGTTCCCCATGGGGATAACTGGCCCCAGACTCAGTCCATCTCCTCTGGGAACTGGGACAGACCTGGTTTCAACAGCATAGACTCCAATTCCCAGAGGTTCCCACCTCTAGGAATAATTAGCAACAATTCAGAGGTGCCTTGGACCTGTCTAATTCTGGCTCCAGAGGTGCTTCCCTTCCTGCAGCACAGCCCTGCTCCCAAGCCTTTCCCATGCCAGTCCTGTAACTCAAACCTCTCAGAGGCTCAGGAGACACGGCAGGGGCCGAGCTGACAGGAAGGTAAATGGGCTTGAGGTATTTATTCACTCCTGCAGCTCTCGGAAGCCCTGGAGAGGGATTTACCTGCCGTGACTCGCCCGGGGCCAGGTGCTGACAGCAGCAGCAGACAGCAGCGATGTTTTGTTTCTAATTCCCTACACTTCATGAGCCCGGGCTATTCCGGGTGTCTCTCTAGCAAGATGTGGGGCTTCTCCGGGGTTATATAACTCAGCCAGGCCACGGCTGCTCTGTTTTGAGCCACCCTCCGCACTTGCTCTCAACACCTGGCGGGGCAATTAGTCACCGATTAGAGTCAGTGACGCAGGGCTCCAACCCAGCCCACGGGGCTGAGGGACCGGCTGCCTTGGAGCAACGTGTCCCGTTCCTAATCCTGTGACTCCATCGTTAATCAGCCCAGGATAAGGGAGTAAATAAGTCCGTCATTGGAGACTGCTGCAGGAGAGGATAAATATTTTCTGAAGTGTTCCCCTCTGTTTGCGAGTGTCACGCACCAGATGTGTGCGGGATGTGGAGAGGGAGCCCTGAGCTGTGGCATTAACTCCTGCCAGCAAACCTCTGGATCTCTGGATACCCTGTGGTCCCCACCAGTGCTGCCTCCCCAGGGAGCAGAGGGGATGGGCTGTGCTGACACGGGGCATGTGCTGGGCCTGGATGTCCCCAGCACACCAGGCTTGGCTGCCACAGTGGGCACGGAGGTGGGATGGGGTTATTGTCCTCATCCCGAGCCAAAGGCGTGAGGCTCTCTCTGTTTGGTGTCCTGAGGGACAGCTCCTGCCAAGCAGAGGGGGGCAGCAGCCCCATTTGATCACTGATGCTGCAGGGCAACCTCCCCATCTCCAAACAGCATCCCAAGACCCTCTTTCCCAGATTCCTGAGGGAAGCCGACCTCTTCCACAGGGCTTTATAATGGGGAATAAAAAAATACTTTATGCCTAAAGCAAAGCCAGGAAGTATTCAAAATGTATCTGCAGTCTGATTCCTCGAGCAGCACCACGACTGAGACAGCAGCCACGTCCACAGGCTCCACACTCTCACTGTACCAGGAAAACAAAATCCTGGATTAGCTGTACACCCACTTTCAGGACACTGCCCTGGCAGGCAGCTCCAGCTCTCTGCCCTGCAGGGCTCCAGGCTTGCTGCCTGTCCTTGGCTGGCTCCTGGGGGCTCAGGGTCCCATGGGAAGGCTGTTAGAGCCTTCATTTCATTCTTAATCCAGAAAAATAGCAAATAAAAGCAGGATTCCATTTTAGGCCTTTGAATCCTGAAAAGCTGTTGCCAATGAGTTCGTGTGCTTGCCTGGCTGCACTGTGGCACCGGGAGCAGAGGCTGGAGGGGGTGGAAAAGCAGGAAGAGGGTGACTTGTTTTCATTTGAGCTGAATTCCAGCTTTCACTCCAAATCCCCTTTTTTATAGACTTTTCCGCTGAAGTCTGCTCCTGCCCGGGGCATGCCTGTGTAACCGCTCCTCTCTGCATTCCTCAGATTCTTATTCTGCTGGAGACTGGAGTGAAGACGGGGTCTGAGGTCCCTGGTGGAGGAAGGAGGCGAGGAGGAGGAGGAGAAGGAGGTTTCCCTTGGCCTCTAAGCTGCGAAACCGGAAAACCAAAGCATGTCACAGGTGATAGAATCCCACGTGTTGCGTGTTGGACAGACTGTGTGTATTTCCTCACCGGAGGAGAGCGAGAGCCTGCGCCCGCCGGGGTACCCGGGCTGCTCCGTGCTGCCGGCCAAGTACGTCTACTACTCCACAGAGGCCTGGACTGATCCCCACTCCATGGTGCGTCCCAAGGCTCCCCTGCTCCCCAGCACCAGAGCGTACGGAGCCCAGCCCGTGTCGGAGCACCTGGCTGCTCACACACAGGGGAAGAACCAGCAGAATTCCTCCTTGGAGAGAGCCCCTGCCCCGCGCCAGCTGAGCGGGGAGGAGAACACCCGCACGGAGCCCGAGGTTCAGCCCATGTCTCCCTCCCTGGACATAACCATAGAGACCCTCAACCAGATGATCCTAGAGATCGATCCGACCTTCCAGCCGCTGCCGTGCAGGCCGGTGGAGGATGCAGCCCAGCCTGCTCAGGGCGGCACTGCAGCCACCGAGAAGCCGGACCCGGAGGCAGTAGGTGAGGCAAAGGCAGCGCTCGGGCTGTGGAGACAGAGAAGCTCCCACCTGGTGAAAACCTTCTGTCTGGGGCACAGGGTTGGACACACGCCTGTCCCCTGGACCCACACAAGGTCCTGTGCTCCTGGGGAGGCTGGAAAGGGGCATCAGGGGCATTCCCCACTGTCCCCAGGGGGTTCAGCGTGGAGGACTGTTCTCTGACATCAGGGCTAAAGAGCAGGACAGGCTGTGTATCCAAGTTCTGCCGATCTCCGGTGTTTCCACGGCCCTGGTCTGATTGCTGTTGACATCTCATGTCCAGACAGCTCAAAGGGCTCAAGAAGGGAAGAGGGAAAACAGCCTTTAGTTCTACCTGATGTTCATTTCCCTGTGTTTGGAGAAAACAATTCTCATTACAAATGGGACTTGCTGCTCTTGGAAAACTTCTAATCCCAGTTGTCACCACCAGGGACTGGCCCTGTGCTCTGGGTGCCCAGTGAGGACCCTGCTCCCCTCAAGGGCAGCAGGACCTTTCCCAGGGTCACACTTGACCTGTGGGAACCCATGGATTTGCAGCCAGATTTCCAGAGCCCTGGGCTAAGGTATCGAGTGTTGCACAACCATCCCATTTAAGTGTTCCCAGTTCTTTTGCCAGGGAAATTCTTTTTCCAGGGCTTGTGCACTCCCCAGGCAGCATACCTGGCATAGGCAAGGCACCAGCAGCACATACCAGCCCTGTCTCTGCTCACAAGTGCCTTATGTGAACACTTGTGCAGCTCTTCCTGTCATCCCTGCAACCCAAGCTCTGATTTGTGAGCTGCTCCTGATCCAAGTATTCCTGCCTGGGCTCTCCTGCTCATTTTAGGTGTTCAACACCTTGTGCACGGCACAGCCCCAGTGTGTGGGGAGCTGACACTGCTGGCAGGACAGGTCCAGGGTGGTTCAGGTGCCTCAGGTACTTCCCAAAAGCCTTGTTGCCTGTCCCTGTCTTTTACACAAAGAAATATCCTGACAATCAGTCCTCAGGCTTCTTTCCACAGCAAATGTGAGGATGTTGAAGACAAGAAAAAAATTCAGTTCTCCCTGAGCCCTCATGCAACAAGGATGTGAGCTCTCAAACCACGAGGATGGTGGGGCTGGAGAAGGATGAGGTGGCACAGGACAGAGCAGCAGCACTGCAGCAGCCAGGCAGTTCCAGAGCAGTGTCCCTGCTTCCTGCTGGGATGGACAGGATGGCCTTGCAGATAAAATACTGTGACAAAGTGCAGATTCAGCTCTGGCTGCTCAGTGCCTGACCCATTCCACTGCCCTGCTCCATGCTCAGGAGCTGGAGCCCCAAGCAGCTCCGCAGGTATCGTGCTGGTGGTCTGAAGAGTCTGGCTCCAAGTATGGAACTGAACATCTGGAAAGCTGGCCAGGAATTCAGTGGGAAAAGCCTCACTTCAGCTTTCATTTTCTTTTAACAGCTCTTGTTTTTTTTACACAAACTTCCTCCCATGGGGCAGTGTCCCTGTTCACTCACCTCCTCCTGCTCCAGCCCTGCAACCTGTGCCCTGATGCGAGGGTGGCAGGGACTGATGGAGCCCAAGAGAGGCGAGAGGGGCCTGTTCTTGTCTTGTGGAGACCACGAGGAAGCTTTAAACATGGCACTCGATCCTGATGGGTCCCTTCCAACTCAGTGTGCTAGTTTTAAAACCACCACACTCAGCACAGTCTGTCATTCTGTGAAATGCTGCTGCAACAGGAGGCACATTCATGAGAGGCACTATTCCCTCTGGATCCTTCTAGTTCCTAGAGGAGAAAGGAGATCTCAGATCTCGGCTTGCGTGACATCTGAGCTCTGTGTTTGTGGCACTTTTGCCACTCCTTGATGCTGGAAAACTTGCCAAGGTCTTGAGCAAATATTTGAGGTTTAACCACAGGTGATAAGAGGAGCAAAGGCAGAGAAGTAGGAGGTAAAAGGCCTCATGAGCCTGGTGCACGGATGCTTGTCAGTCCTTTAAAACACAATTAAAATCCCCATTTCTTTCTCCTTTTGGGGAGACGTTGACAAAAAGCATCCGGCCAGCATCTGGCCAGCTCAACCGCAAGGACATGTGGCCACAGAGCTTCCCCCAGGCTGGGCACTGGAGGAGCTGCTGCTGGCAGCCAGGCTGTGGAGGAGCAAAGCTCTGGCTCTGTCCTGCCTGATCCAGCTGTGTCCCCACTGGGATCAGCCCTCCTGGCTCACCCAGCGCCTCCTTGGTGCTCGTGGCTGGCCGTGTTTATCCAATCTGCTGCTGGGATGGGCACAGAGAAAGGGCTCAGGGAGTAACTTCTGTAAAGCCATGTGCTTTTCCTGCTCATCCAGCTCCGTGCCCAGAGCTCAGGCTGTTGCTTGCAGTAGCCAGGGCCAGGAGCTCCCGCACAGCAGGTCCATCAGGACCTGTCACACCCTGGGCAGGGAGCTCAGTGCTGTCCGAGCAGTTTGCTGCAGCAAAGAGGATTTTCCCTCTCTGAGAAACACCTTTGAGAAGGGGAACTTTCCTGAACTCCATGGCAGGGCAGGAACCAGGTGCTGGAAGCAAAGCTGGGCACGTCCAGACTGGAAGGGAGGTGCACACCTTTGGCACTGGAGTGATTAACCACCAGAGCAGCTTCCCTGGGATGTGATGGATGTGCCATCGCTGCAAGCACTCAAATCAATCTGAATGTCTCTTGCTAAAAGGCCTCTTCCAGCTCAGCCAGAAATGCTGGCTTTGTCCAAGGAAGCCAGGACGTGCATCAGGCACCCTGGTGCTGGCTGTGAGGTTCCACTGAGGGTTTGGGACAGGAGATGTTCTGTCAGAAGGAGGGGCTGCCTCTCAGCACCAATGGAAGAGAGAGAAGAATCCCACAGCAAGGCACAGAGACTGCCTTGGAAGTTAATTCTCTAGAGAGATTTGTGCAGGGTGGGAGAAAGGAGGAGGGAGCAGCCCTCTCCTGCCGGGTCTGGTCTTGCAGTGGACACCAAGAGTGTTGTAACTGCCCCTGTCCCACGTGCATTTCCTCTGCCTCACTGCCACAGTGTGGGTGGAAGTCCAGCTGTACCTGGGGCCAGGTGACATCCCCCTGCTCCTCTGCCCCGGGTGTGCAGGGCCACCCTCCGAACCTGACGTCACCCTGGGGGGAGCAGCCAGGTGTTTTTCTCTTGAGTCAGGTACAAACAGAGCAGCTGCTGGAGGGAACACCCACCTCTGGCTGCAGGTCTCGGCAGGTCCTGGCTGGGTAATGCTGGCGAGGGGGGTCTGAGCAGCCAGACGTGACCGCACGTAACCCCCTTCCCTGGGAGCCTGCCAGCACCGGGGGGTCACCTCACCTTGGGATCTGTGGGGCATCAGCCCTCACAGGCTCTCAGCAAAGGGTACTGCTGGACCCCCAGCCTTGCAGAGCCAGAATTCACAGCAGGAAGAACAGACACACATTCCTCACAGAGCCTTGCTAAGGAACCCAGCTTGCACACCAGACCCTTCATGACCTCCTCTCTCTGTCTCTTTCTCTCTCTCTTTGCAGACATCAAGTACATAGAGCTGACACTGGGCAGAGCCACGGGGCCCGACCAGCCACGGGGCACCCCCAGCCCTTCGGGCACCCCCTTCTCCAGATCCCCCCAGGCCAACAGCTTCCTGCCCCAAAAAGGGGTGCTCGGAGGCAAATACAGCACCAGTGACAGCGTGGTTTTCTCCAGCCCACCCGGACCCTCCAGCCCACAGTCGGCCGCCCTGAGCTGCAGCACCAGCATGCCCTGGCAGTGCCTGGCAGGACACACGGACACAGTCTCCCACAGCCCCGGGGCCCTTAGCACCTCCCCAGGTGCTGACAATCTGCTGAAGCCCTTGCAGGTGTTGAGGGCCCGGCAGAGGGGCAGTTGGGTGTCCCAGCTCTCCACGAGCCCTGGCTCTGACACCAGCTACATCCTGGGCAGGTAAATGCCACCTGTGCCTGGTGGAAGGGGCACAGGGCAGTGCCCCAAGTCCCTCATTCCCTGGGCTGGGAGATGATGTCCTGCAGAGCTGCTGCAGTGGCTGGGACGGTGTCTGTGTGTGAACAACCCCCTGATCTCTGCTCTGTCTCCCTCCTGCAGCAGCACCCACTCGCTCCACAACGAGGACTCGGATGCTTCGGCCACTGCCTCCCCGTCCCCCATCAGCTCCCTGGGAAGCCCCTGCTCTCCTTCCTCTGCCATCGTGTCTCACTCCAGGGAGGCTTTTGGCCAGAGCCCCGCACAGCCCCGGGCAGGCAGCTCCCCCAGCACCTCCCTGGGCCAGAAGGGCCAGGCCAGCAGCTGCCCCCCCTCCATCCTCACCTCCGCTGCCGACATCCCGGTGCTGCTGGTGAACGGGTGCCTGGAACAAGGGGATGGACCCCCTCGGCTGGCCAAAGCCCCCCCCAGCTGTGGCACACAGCCCCCTGTGCCCGGCTGCAGCCCAGCCTTGAGGCTCGGTGGCCTGAACAATGCGCTGTCAGCGCCAGCACTCAGCTGCCTCTCGGACAGTGAGTCACGGGCAGGGCAGGGAGGAGCTGCAGACCCCAAAACCTGCTGGGAAAGGGGGAACAAACCAAATTTTGCTTTAGCAGAGGATGAGATGAGAGGCTGTGGATGAGAGCTCCTTGCTCCTCATGCTCCACGTGGTCTCCTGACCCTGGATTAGCCACAGCCTTCTGCCCACCAGCATCCTGGGGCATGGGCTCGGCAGCCAGGAATGCTCTGCTCCCTCCAGGAGATGCAGATGCACCTATTTATAGTACCTGAGAATGAGAAACATCCTTCAGTCCTGTTTGCTGCCCCAGACCAAGCTGGGAGGAGGGGTTGGGGTCCTCATTTGCTCTGAGGACACCAAAAGGTACCAGGGTTCACCAGGTCCCTCATTCAAGAGCAAACACTGGGGCTATTGTTCTCTGGAGGAGATGAGCAGAGGCAGCTCTCGGGGCAGAGGGTTTTAATTGGGATCCTTATGGAAATAGCAAGAGGGTGTGTGGGTCAGATCCTGGTGTAAATCCCATGGTCCAGTGGATTGTGCAGGGCTGGACAGGCTGGCACTGCCAGGGGATTCCATGTGACCCTCTCTGCACTACATCACAGCCTGCCAAGAGAGATAATTACATGGAGAACGAGCTATTCTGAGGAGTGGGGAGGAAAGGATTCAAAAAGATTGAAAAACCTTCATCCCTGGCCAGCCTGAGTGAGAAATGTCTCTGCTGGGCTCTGCCATTGGTGGAGGTCCTTCAGGTTCCTGCTGGCCTTGACATGCCTGTGGTCTCTTGCAGGTCCCCTGAAGGCAGGGCAGCCCACCATGAAGTTTGTGATGGACACTTCAAAATACTGGTTCAAGCCAAGCATCAGCAGGGACCGAGGTGAGGCAGGAAAGGCTCCACGGGTGTGAGCCCACCTCAGGCTCTGGCCTGTCCCTGGAGTTCTCTGGTGTCCCTGTGGGGACTCAGTGGGGGCAAATCAAAGCCTACTGGGGGCTGATGGGTGTGGAGGAACCTTCTCACAGGTTG